GTCTGGTCTTCACTGCGGTGCTATGCTGTTTTTATTGCCACTAGATGGGGGGAGGCACCCGGCCTTCCCCCGTTTGTGCGTGCAAAAACGATGATTTCCTATGGGAAAGGCATTAAAAGAAACGGCTGGAGGGGGTTACTTTGTGAAAAGCAGAAACTGAAGTTAGCTTGAGCTGGAGAAAAAAGGCAAACAAAAAAAAATGAGTGCGAGTGTGTGTGCGTGTGTGTGATCCAAGAACAACAAGAGCGTCTACCAGACAAAGTAGGGCGAAACGTTCAAAATTCAACACCGCGACTTGGGGGCTGCCACACCTTTTGGTATTCAGATTGCTGGAAAACTGCATTCCCGGCTGGAAAAGAGAATGGGTTCTTCTAATTAGGCTTGGAAAGATGATGCGAAAATTCGGAAAATTTATGCGAGCGGCTGATGCAAATACCTTGCTGCATGAGAAGCGTCGGGTCCTGTCCTGCGCGTGGCCGCGGTGCCGCTGTCACAGCGCTGGCACGGCCGGGGCACAGCGATGGCAGCAAAGGCCATGATTTGGGCAGGGAAACCTGCAGCAGGGCTGGGAGGGGAACTCTTTTATGTTCACACATGAAGCATAGATTAATTATTCCCCTGGAAAATAAAAGAAGAGCGTATTTTTTAATACTGCAAGGGGGTTGTTAGAGGTAGCCACGCACGCCTCGTGCTGCTGGACCTCCACGAAGAGTCACTGCAGGAGTCCAGGCCCCTTCACAGCCATTGAAGTCTGGCAGAACGGCGGGGAGGTTGCACCCGTTGTCTGGACGTGCAAAAAGCCGTTCTCACCATCTCTGTGCTTTGGGGTCTGTAACGCGGGAATCGGTTCAAGCTCCTAATTGGATTTTTAGCCAGATAAGAGATGGCACCGATTAGTGACATTTACTGATAAGATTCAGTAGCTGAAGTGAAAGGATTAAATAAGGACCAAATTCAGCAGCAGCAAGTAATTTAGCCCACGGATTTTTAGGGGCTCTGAGCAACTGTCTGTTTTCTTTTTAATTTCCCTGGTAAGTGGTTTTGGGTTGTTTCAGGTTTGTTTTTTTTCTGTGTACCTTTTAATTAAAAAGAATTCAACAACAGCGGCACCACGGGGCCTCTGGGCACTACAGGAAGAAACATTAATTCCTCCAAGACCAGATCTGCAGTTTTGCAGCAAAGGTTAAAAGGTGGCAGCCCCGAAATTAGGAAATAAAACAAGTAACAGGTTAGCCTGAATTGCAAACAGGCTGGAGTAGAGGAAAAGCTTTCTGGAAACGGATTGGGTTTTGCTTTGTGTTCTGCTTTTCTGTTCTGCAATCAAGGCGCACGTGAGCAGCCAGTCTGGTAGTAAAGACAGATTAAGTAAAACAGGTTTTACTGTTTAGCTCAATTCAATTAAACACAAATGTACATAAAATGTTAATCATGTGAGATTAACATATTTAAGTATAACGCGGAGGGGTGTATACGTAGCTATTCTATACAAGCACTTGACTACCGACCCAGCCCCTCCTGTACTTTTTTATTTGAAGGCTCCATCCGCCATGCAGCCACAACTGCGTTCTCAGTCTCCGTGTGGGACGCTCCCTGTGCTGAGGCAGGAGCCAGGCGCAGGGCTGCGCACCGGGCCGCGCTGGGAGGCAGGGTTTCTTTTGAGATGATGATATATGCAGTCGAGTGTTGAAAATGTTGAAGCAGTCCCATTTGTTTTCACTCTGTATTAGTTTTAGTTTCAGGCATAGCCGATTCCCCCATTCAGGTGCTATCAGATGACCAGTTACTGCTTAGTTAACTAGATGTAAAGTTTTACATATATATTAATGTCAATAGTTTTATTACAGGTTGTGTAAAATGGACTCTCTAGTTTAAAAAAAAGAAAAAAAAAAGAGGAAAAAAATTAGGTCTCTCCTGAAATTGACTTTAGAGCATGGAAAATGATTTTACTGGATTCTGTTCAACTGTAATCAAGGAAAAAATATGTATGTGTAGAAAAAGTTGCAGAATTAAAAAAGATCTGCTTTTAATTTATTCTTTTTGTATTAAGAATTTGTATAGTTACCTTTACATTTTGCAAAACGGTGTTGTCAACACTTCCTTATTAAAGCATTTTCAAGATGAAACCTTGCCATGGTCTTTTCAGGAGGGCACAGCACCCGGGGAGTCCCGACCCTGGCGATGGCACCACCACCTCTGCCAGCGCTGGGTCCAGATGTGCCAACGGGGCGAGGGTTTGGGGGGGACCCGCTCCTTTGCTGTCAGGGCCCTGGCTGCAGGAAACGCTGGGCATTCCCCCAGAGAGCCCATCCTTTAAATAACTAAAATTAACACTCTCTTGCTCGAATTGGGACACCAAGGAGCCACAAGGCTGTTGGCAGCAACGCCAAGGTCCGTAGGAAAGGCTGGAGCACCAGCGTGATCCCCCCAGTGCTCCCAGGAAGCGCCTGCTCTTTGGGTTGAATTCCTGAAGGAATCCCCATCCTGGTTTCATCTCTGTTGCTGAGGCAGCAGAATCGTGAACCCCTCCTGGACAGACTCTGCTCTGGCTCAGGAGGGGGCTTTGCCGGCAGCCAGGGGTTAGTGATGCCACTTAGGATCACTGTTTTCCCCTCCATGGGCCAATCTTGTATAGCAAATCTCCAGAAAAGTTTGGGATGGGGCAAAATGGCAATGATGAAGATTTTCAGGCGCCCTCCCTAGCTCTGGGACTTGGGCTCAGATTTGCTGTTGACGGCTCCGATGGTGCAGGCACCTCTTCAAGCCCTGCGCTACGTCAAGAGCAGCTTTCCCCACAGCCTGCTCCAGATTCGATACCAGCACTGGCAGCCCCACACCAGCCCCCTTGGAGGGCACCACATCCCGTGCTCATCCCCAGGACTGAGAGCCAAATGGCAAATACGGAATTAAAGGCATTTTACGACCGCCAGGCACGATAATACTGACACAAGGCAGCTATCACACACTTTGAGAGCACCACCTCACACAGCCCCTTCCACTGCCGGGCTAGGGAAGGGGTGAGGGGCTGCAACGAGTGACATGAAGCACTGAAGTCCTAAAACCCCTCCAGACATGGCTGTGGTGAACGCATGGCTTCATCCCGAGGCTCCATGGCTTTGGATTCAGGGGAGTTATTTCCGCCGAATGCAAGAATTATCAGAAATAAACATCTGGAGAAGCCCGGAGGGAAAAGTCTAAATCGCTAAACTGAAACATGCCCTCCCCATAAGAAGTGTCAAGCAGTGTGACAGCTGCGCCCCACCCACTCGTCCCTAAACCAGACTCGGGTGGGTTTGGCATTTTTTTGGCTAAAAGGCATTATGAACTACTTGATCATGGTCTGGTAGCTGTAATTTGGGGCCATCCAGCTGCAAAGAGCCTCCAACCGATGATGGAAAGCAGCTGCCGTAACAGTGTCCCCCCTCCTCGCGATCCCCCGAGGACCAGAGCTGGCTCTCACGTGCCGGACAGCTGGAAACTCTTACCCAGCCGTGCCGTGAGAAAGCACCGCTCAGCTCCTCAGCTCCCCGTGCAGCGCCATTCCACGAATTGCAAGGGGATAAAGTTCTTCCGTCGTGGGATTCATTCAGGCAAGGCGGCTGTATTTCAGGGACTGTCAGCGAGGAGGCACACTGCTTAAATTACATTCCTTAAAACCTGACCAGACTTCAACATTCCAACCCCAAATTCACATCCCTGCAGGAAGTGCATCCCCACTCAAAGCAGTGCTCAGGGTACCATTAAAGCTCTCCTCAATAATTAGCTTTAAAGGAGGAGGGAAAAATCCATCTAATACTATTACAGATGCCCTAAGGAATCCAGTTCCCTCTAAAGCAGACGTTACAACGCTCCTTGGACCATCCCCTGGCTGCCCACTTGCTGCACTTCCCAGGGAACCTGCAGCTCTTCTCAAGGAGGGACAATACCGTCCCTCAATTATTTAGAGTTCAAAACTAAGGTCTGGACGAAGAGTTAGAAACAGCTCAGGAAATCATCCGGGTGGGGAGAGGGATAAAGTTGCGGTGTTATAAATGTTTCCTGTTGTAACAGCGCCTCTGACGAGTACCTGTACAGAGCACCGCAAAAAAACCACCAGACACCACTGCTAATGAAACTCTTCCAGGCTCTTGACATCCGCCCAGCTCCTCCCCACAAATCCCCGTCTGTTCCCCAAAGGCCCCATCCCAAGCTCCAGTCAGGTCTCCTCAGCCTCATTTTTATTCCTTCTAAACTGTTTAAGCTCTTGACATTTTCTCTGGGGTCAGACACTCCAGACTGAGAAACTCCTGTGGCTCAAGGGGCACTTCAGGATCTGGAGAGGCCCCAGAAGAACCTGAAGTTCCTCAGGATGCTGCTACCACTCCTTATGCAGAATCAGACACCACCGTTTCCATGAGTTTCTTCGCCATTCCCAGTCGAGATGCACAACGGTACAGATGTGAGCCTGCCAGAAATACTCTACATGGTCATGGGAGGTCCTAATTATTTTCTCTGCAATGCCCAGCAGACTGAAATTTTCTCCAGATGTATAAAAACGGGATTTGAAAGCCTCAAGAGCCATAAGATTACTTCCCCCAAGCCCACAAGGTTTATATTAAAAATGTTGTTCCCAAAAAAGAAAAGAAAAGCCAAATCAGATGCATTCAAGATCAAAAACTCTTTGCACTGAGGCTGGTTGTATTTTTCAGCCGAGAAATGTATAAACCTTTTTCTTCTCCTTCTTCTTCTTGATAAATACCACATGAAAGATTAGCCATTAAAGTCTTCATATTTACAGAAAGAACCAAGATTCAGATTCAACTGCTTCCCTCTAATCATCTCCCCACATCAGTCTCCAATGGGAAAGCAGCCAAAGAACTCCACAGAGGCTCTCTGCAGGGCTGAGTCTCACCTAAAGGGCTACGCTATGGGAAACAGCTCAGCCTGCACGGGTCCCTGAATAGCAAAGTGAAATAAAAGCAAGGTTCATCGTCCCCTGGTCATACTCCATTTAAAATCACCCACCCTCTGCTGTATATTGGATGTGTGCAGCATAAAGTATAGATTTTAAAAGAAATCGACATAAATGGGGCTTGTAAAAAGGAAGCTGTAGAAAATCTGCTGTTCTGTGCTTTTCCGCAAAGCCCACCCCAGGTTCCTGTTGGTGCTGAAGCACAAACTCTGTCTCTGCAGTCCATGCTGGGTCCTGGAGGTCAAAATGCCCCGGGCCCCGCGGAGCCTCACAACGCGTTGTACTCCACGCACTTGGATGGGTCTGTGGGGAAGTGCTTCTGGCAAATGGTCATCAGCCTCTTCAGCCCCTAGGAATTGACAGAACATGGACACTTCTGTAACAAGCCTGCAGCTGTCAAACGACTTAAATCTGTGGTATTTTTCAGCTTAACAGTGAGAACTCAAGACAAACGGCTGCTATTTTGGGGGTGTTTCTCCAGATTTTAAGTTTTATGAACTTTTCTGCCTGCAAAGTGCCAAGTTCTCTCCAACTGTAGAAGAGTCTGTGGCATAACCAAGGAGACCACAGATTTGGTCCCTCGTGACAGACTGACAGTGAAGGATCACAGTAGTGCTTTAGTCCCTCTTCACCAGCACAGCAGAAAACAATACCATCGCAACAAGAGATATTTAAAAGAAACCTGAAAATACATTTTATAGAGCAAAAAGCCATTTCTGACACCAAAACACAGCAATGAGAAGAGCAATTTCTCTGGAGGGGAAATGTCATTTCTGCCCATGGTGGCACCACACCTGACCTACACCGCAGAGGCAAACAGAAGAAGTGATCAAGAAGGAAGGCAGAATGTGGACTTCTCAGCTCTTTCAAGGCAGCGATTGCCAAAAAACCAACACGACAGAAACCTTGTGGTTGTTTCCTTTCAAGTCACACAGAAAAGTCTAACAAAGAGGAAAGAAAACTGCTGCGGTAGCGAACCTGAGCAGTGACGCTGCGCTCCGAGATGGCAGAGTCACGTCCGTGCCTGTCGTTAGACACCATCACGGAAAACGGCTCCTCACTGAAGGGAAAAATCACTCAACAGCCGAGGCTTCGGCCTTTTCAATGCAGGCAAGTCTGAAAACATGTCCTAGCACCAGAGTTGGGGATTTCAGGATCCCAGGTTCGCTGTAAATCAGAACCGTGGTAGCTCGATGTAACTGCTGGGAGCACAGATAACACTGCACGCTCCAGTCTGAACCAGACCGGCTAAACAAGACCTGATATTTAAAACCAACACAGAGAACATGCACGTTTAAGGCCAACTCTGTCTTGGCATTTCAGGAAGTTGTGTAATTGAGCAGCACGGATATGAAATTCACAGTGGGAAGATGAACACAAAGATTTCCTTGACCTACAGATGTAACCCCAAAACCAGATAAGGGACAAACTGGGGAATTCATGTACATGGTATCTTCCAAAGGGCTACGAGAGGTCAAGCAGCACTGCAGAGCAGAGATCTTTCTGCAAGAAGAGAGGCAAATGCACACAGATGGCCAATTACTCACCAAAGCGGAGAGGAAGCGTTATGGCCGTGTGGAGATCCACAACAATCTCCCTTTGGAGACAAATTCCCTTTTAACACAGACTAACAACAAAACTGTTTGGTTTAACCTAAGCTATCTCACCCATTACAGACTTCCAAGCAAGTATTACACTAACTGGAGCCACTCTCTGCAGCTGCATAGTCCACATGACAATTTTCTCCTTATAAAAGAATTGGTCAAATTTAATGTGTTGGCTCTGTAAGTTTCTGGAGCTTCCTCTGACTTCACGGTGGTATTTTCACAGGTTATGATATTAAAAACTATAGCTGAAGAGAAACCAAAGGTTACACTTGTAGCCTCAATACAAAGGGACTCAAGGTAGGAGGAGAAGTTGCATTTTACAAGCAATCCACTTGTAAATCTGCAGAAGTTGAAAACCATCGGGAGTCTTTCTGCTGCAGCAGCAAGATCCTGCCAGGAGCTCTGAGCTCCACCACGTCCCTCTGGAGGCGTCAGAGTTAAGCCAGAAGGTCTTTACCTCAGTGAAACTACAACTGGCAAGAGGCAAATATATGTAACATTACAAGGAGAGGAGACTTGTTTCCCCAAACCCATCCACCCATTACGCTGAAACATCAGAGAAGAGAAACACCACTGCTATTAATTCCACAAAGAAGTTCATGACATGGGTATAAATATGCATGGGAGGAACTGAACCTGGAATTTTGAGCCTGCACTGTTAGAGAAACCTGTCTGGAAAAGGACTGTCTTTATCTAGTTGCAGAAATAGTCAGGAGGACTGTATTTCATGGGATAAAATTCCACACGTGATGTTAAAAACATGAGTTAAGCAGTGAAGGAACTCAGAATAAAGCATGGTTTCACAGCTACTGTGGTGTTCATACAGGATCACAATAGTTAAGACACAGAAAAGTCCATCAGACTCTGTTCCTACCCCAGCACTGAAGGAGCCTTCAGGTCCAGGATGAGCTACCCATTACATGGAAGTTATGCTTGACCCAAACTAAGGCAACTGTCCATTTCTAGGACCTTTTTACAACATCACCTGTCACTATGAAACCAGTATTTCTCAAAGATCTTCTAACTTCAAAAGCAAACCTATTGGATTTCCAAAGCTAACGTTACCTGAATGTACTTCCTCTGAGTTTCATCATTGAGAACGTGGGCTACGTGCTTGGAGAAAATCTTCTCACGACCCGTTCGAGCGTGGATGCCAACCATGGTGACACCGATGGGCCAGGGAGCGTTTCCAATGGCCATCTGAAGATAGGCATCGTTTGCCTGAAGGAACGCAGGGCATGAAGATTTAGCCAAAGAGAAAGGGCATCAGAAAGCGGAGCATTTTTGCATTGTCAGATACACCACCACCACGTATTCCAGTCTCTCTGAATCAGGCTTCATTGCACAATATTAACCAATTTTACAGCACACCTTCCTAACATGATTCATGTTTGTGCTGAACTCTGAGGGAAGCAAGGGCTATGGACTTTACCGATAGTGACGAAAGCAAGCGCTGGATAGGGCAGCCTAATACTGATTAAAACTAAAATTTACTGGGACTATTTTCCACTCAGCCTTGTCAGGTTCCCAGAAGCTTTTCTGCTGTAATCACCTTTATAATCCAGGTCATTTGGGTTGCAGACCAGACCAGGGCCTGGCTGCGAGCACAACCCACTGCAGGTCCACGCTGTGTGCGCAGAACTGAGCTCACCAGGTACACAGGAATGCACTGGGGCCTGACAGCTCTCGGGGAGAAGAGCTCTTCCAGAGAGGCTGAGAACCAGCTCTCTACAAAAATGGGTTAAATAAGGGTATTTGTAACAACGTTTATGAACAGAGCAGTAGCAGCAACAAATGGATCTGAAATTTCCCAATCAAGATAGCAGAACCCGTTTCTTAACATAAAGCTTCAGCAGACAACATCCCTGGGGAAAAACAGGGCTAAAACTTGAATGGAAAATTACCAGAAAGAAAGGGGGAAAGGAAGAGAAGTAGAGAGCTTAAAAAAGCCATAAAACTGAGAACCAGGAAGCGAGTGGGATAGACACATTTATGCAACTACCGAAAAGCAGCTTCAAGCAGCAGGACATTCCTCCACTGCCAGCGAGCAGCTATGACTCACTGACAGAGTTCACTTGTCATCAACCACTCGGAGCCTACACAGCAGCAACCATGACCAGTGGGTGCAGTTTCTTCCCAACTGGCACCAAGCAAACTGGGAGGTGAAGAATGAACAAGGCAAGGGGTTACAAAGCTGAGAGTAAACCCGAAGTAGGGGCAGGACTGAGTCTCCACCTACGTGAGGCAGAATCTGAACAGTCTCAGTCAAATACCTGCTGACTGACTTAAATACAGTTTTGTGGTGAACTGTAGTGTGTGAACATGCAATTAAGGACCCTTCCAGGACTGTCACAACAGGGTTAATTAAGGTTGAGTGGACAACCTGCATTCTGGCATTTGCCTGCTGTCACGTGTTGATTTCAAAATGTAAACCTTTCGAGTAGGCTGCACAAAGATTTAAAGAACAGAGGACAAGAGCAAGCAGAAAGAGACAAGTCTCAAAGGAAGCAAAATAGAAAAGGATATGAGTATCTTTAAAAGCACAAGGCTCATTAGCCTAATTAAAAACAAACAAACAACTCCAAACAAAACTTCCTCCAAAATCAGTCTGTGAAAGTTTACATGAAGCCAAGCACATCCAGAGAGAGGAGCACAGCGGATTAACGCACAAGACAGACCACATTCCCTCACACTCACTACTTTCTTTGAGAAGACACTGGAAAGGGAATTTCAACATAAGATGACAACCAAAAGAAAAAAAGAAAGCCCCAAAACAAACCCCACTATCCTACATCCCACGCTTTCAGTTCTACTGTCAAATGATTTGGATTAAACTTGCCTTAGGCTGTCTACAGTTTTTTTTCTATAATAAAAGCAGGTTTGCTTGCTTACTTGACAAATTATCCCAAGTCCTCACAAGAATAAGAAGAAATACTAGAAATTTAAAGGCAAACCAAGGCTCAATTTCCTCTGCGTACACAAGCTGCTTAAGCAAATGCTATCGGTATTTGAGTTCTACTTGTGAAGGCAGCTGCAAACAAAACCTAACACTGCCTTTGATCTTGTGTGCCAAAGTACTTCTGCACCCTCCAGTAAGCTGTGTTGAAAAAACTTTTCATTAACTTACCTCCACCTTACCAGGCCAGCTCATGCGAGCACAGCCAAAGAAAGGGACAGCGTCTCATGTTCAGTAACTCGGTTCACCTCAATTAAGTCCTAATTAATTAATCAACACCCTATTACTATTAATTCAATACCTTCATTTAAACTTGCAATATCAGGTTACCCATAGAGGATCCCTCTGCAACTTAATACAACCGTCTCCCAGAAAAATTCCCGTTGTGCTTGCAAAGCGTTGCAGTTTCACCGGCCTCAAAAGATCTTCTGACGGACTGTGAAACGAACACTACCTGGAGCCTCACCTTTAATGGCCGTTTTCCATTTTGTTTGAATATATGTTGCGTGTATTTCCAGCTATGTATCTTCAAAATGGGAAGCACTGAAGTAATAAACTCAATCTATTAGAACCAGGCAGCCTGAACATGCCGGAAGAGTGCAAACAAACGTACCTTCACGTATTCCCTCTGCAACATGAATTTAATAATATCTGTTATTGATTCTTTGATGTCTGCAGGAAGAGTCTACAGGAGAAAAAAGAAAATACAGCTTTATTTCAGAACAGCTCAGAAAAATCATCCTACTCAGCATTTATACAAAGTTTAGCACCTACCCTAGCTTCAGGACTTTAACAAAGGAAAATATCTTTGTTTTTTAGATGAAGGAACTGAAGCAACAGCGGTTAAGTGGTTACACCTAATAGCTTGTGGCAAAGTGCAAAAGACAACCCCAATTCTCTATCATGCTTGCAACCCAGTGAACAGGTGATACATAAAGCAACAGCTGGAGAAGCAGTGGGCAGGCAGAACATACTGGTCAAGAGAAAAAGGTCCAAACTGGGAGTCCTGGGCTCCAGAAACAGAACTCCGACCAACTCACTTATCCCCTCTTCTTCAGTGAAGATAACATTACCTTAGGAAAGGGCACTAACTATCAGGTACTTCGAAAGCAGAAGTTAAAGTTAGTCTTAAAGAATGGCAACATTTAAAAGTGATTCACCCTCTTCCGAAGTTTTCTGAAGAGCGGCCTCAGGTACGATTCTGTCTGCTTTTGAGTAGCACTGTTCAGCTTCCCTTGTACTCCCCGTTTCACGTAGTCTTCTCTGGCATTCAGCTCCTTAGCCCAAACTCCAAGAAGAAACTGGACAGGGAACAAGCAAATTTATGACATAGTGCCATCTACTGACTGCCCCGGCAAAACAGATGGGAGCAGCAGTTTAAGCCACCAGGGCAAAACGAGGTTTTTTAGAGAAATCCAAATTAAAAAAGCAAGAAGCCTCTTTCAGAGGGATAGGCGAGAAGGGATATGAACCTTACTATCATAAAAACACTGCATGTACAAGGAAACAAGGGTGCAGGTGTCAGTGCTGGGAGGGAGGAGCAGAAATCTAAGTGGAATGCTGACGTTTTAGGGTAACATTTGTGAAGGAGCCTAAGGAATAGTAAATATCACAGCGAAAATCCAACACAATGGAAGGCAAATATGTCAAACATACCTTCACTCCACCCGGAAAACAATTCTTGAGCTTGCTTTGTTTGAGTGGCCACATAAACTGTGCTAAAATGCCAATGTATCTGATATACACAAATGAAAGCTTTGACTCCTGCTGTGACTTCTGCTCATCACAACAGTTATGCTGGGACTGGCTGACTCAAGTGAGAGGCAATGCAGGCTTCAACAGGAAACAAGGAAACAATTTCCTACCATCCACTTGAGCCTGTTTCCCCAGCAAAGACAGCAGACTTCCTTTAAAATTCACATAACAGTACCAGGTGGCGTTTCATTTCAGTTTGCACTGTTCCTGGGAAAGTGAGGTGGGGAGACTCTTTGGAAGTTTTTAATGCCATGGTAGTCCATAGAAATAACTACATACCACTGCCTCAATGATCATGTGGAAATCAAAACCGTATTTATTTTGTCTGGAAAAGTAGGACCAGATTTTGAAGAATGCCTCTCTCCCAACAGCTCTTTCCCAGGTCTAGCAGAAGTCACTATAGTGACCAACCAAGGCTGTGGAAAGCCAAGCATTTTAAAAAAAGAAGAAACAAAACACATCTTAAGCGTAATGCGTGAGTTTTTCACAGCTGGAACCAGCCCTTCTCTTCACCAAACATATGTGTATGACAGCAGAAGATACGACACAGGCTACAGAATAACTTATCTACTAAACTAGGGTTTGTTACCTTCAAGAACTTGGTTATGATGTCCATATCATAGTGATCATCACCCCTTCCTAAGGATTCTCCCAAAGCCTACAACAGGAGAGAAAAGGCGATTATTTCCATATTGTCTAGAAGTTTGCGACCACTGCCACAGCAGAGCACGATTCACTGCGCTGTGACCTGTAATAAACTCCATCAGTAATGGAAATCACCAGTTAGGAAACTGAACAAAACAGCTATCTATGCTACTTAGATTTGTTCATCTATTAAAAACATACAAGTCAAAAAGCCAATATGATTATTTCCAAAAAGTCAATGCGACATTAATTTTTCATCCATTAACTACTAAATTATTAGCATAATTGGCAGCTGTCCCTCAGCACTGGGGAACTGTGGATGCACTGCTTTTTTGAGGTCCCCAAAGCCATCAATTAACCTCATTATTTTGTTAAGCTATTTCAATTCTCTGATGTACTGGGGATTTGTACCATTCCATTAATTATAACTGTGATATTGAGGGAAACAAAGCACCCCAATAGTGTGGTGCAATACTCCACCTTCCCACCAAAACCTCAGAACTGGTAATACCAGCAGCACCTTATGAAACATTTTCCAATAGGTATAGTTGGATTTAAAATCTATTTCCATTATCCTCACATTTACAAAGTGAGTTTTATTTTAAAAGCCTCTCAGATTTTGAACCAAATTCAGTGTAAGCCTTTATGCTCAAGAAGTGCGTTAAAGTAGCATCAAATTAACACTGCAGTGTTTTCAACCTTTTGAGAAAAAGGTTACTTTCATGGCTCAAACCAAGCCTGCCTTACTAGCTCAAAAAGGAGCTATTTTGAGAACTAACACATCAGTAACTGCAGCCCCACTGCAACCGGTACCCATTCTGGTACCACAGTTATTTTATACCAGAACTCCTCATACCCTAACAAAAAAGCCAAAGGCTATTTCCTAATAATAATGTATTCATTTAAGCCTTCAGTCCTATACCGGATTATTTCTTAAACACACTTTTGGAAGGATGATCTGAAGATTAACTTCTGCAAAGATTTTTGAAGATTAAGGAGGAAAGTCACCAGCTCAAGTTAATGTGCTTTTCAAAACACGACTCTAAAATACCAGGGGCCGAGCGCACACCATGGTGTTCATTCTCTGCTCACTTACACAAATACCATCATATTCTTTCAGAACATAGCACTTGTTTGCCCTGAAGTTTCTGGGACACATCATGTCTACGCTTTTTCTATTTCCTGTGATCTGCCTACTTCCTATGTCCACTTCTTTTTTGTCCTGAAGTTTCTGTATCAAACATTCTTTCTGCGTGTCCATTTTTTGAGAGTCCATCTTTCTTGTATATGGAAAATTCATTGGTACTAAGTTTACTACCCTCTCAAATCCTCACTGGAAAGGCTTTTTTATGATAAACTACATCTAAAATCTACCCATCACATACCTCCAGTTCTTCAATAGTCGTGTTCTCCTCATGGACCTTCAGGTCATTCTGTGAGTCGTCGTCTCCTGCTTCTTGGCCGCCTACAATTTCATTCAGATACTGCTGGTCAATCTTATCCAAAGCAGCCTTCAGATCATTTCTCAGACCCTGGAAAAGATAAAAAATGACTAAATTACATACAAACCCCAAACAACTAAACAAAAGCAGATCAGTGCTGTCACAGTGAGCATCCAACTCCCGCTTAATCCAAATTCTGTAGAAACGTGCATAAAGAGTTGGCTTTGTTGTCTGAATTGAAACTAAATTCAAAGAACAGTTTCTGGATGCTCCAGCACTCAACAAAAAGAAGATGCATGAACTTCTGCAATGTTCACACCTATGAACAAGACTTTGTACCATGTTTTCACCAGAAAAGCATGGAGGACTGCATCAACTTTTAAGGCTTTCTTCAAGACTTTTTCTCCAAGCAATGCATTGAACCACCCCAAAAGAAACAGAAAACATGCCACAACCATCACCAGCTCTTCAAGGCTTCACATATGCCCTGAAAAAAGCTGTAAATAAGGTAAGTAACACCCGTTCAGTACTATTACATAAAACATTTACGTCTTTCCCTTATTACCAACAATTTAAACATAGCAGAATGTTTTATACAGATTAAGTGTTTAGAATCCCCTACTCCAGAACAGGTGATTAAAGAAGATTACATCTATGGTTTCAAACTGATGCTATAGTTAAGAGCTGCTTTTAAACAGAATGAGAAACTCCGCTTAGCCACAGTGAGAGGACTTGCACTCTTACCTTGAGGTACAAAGTACAAAGCTCTATAAAGGAGTGTGAAATATCTTACTCCACAATAAACTCAGCCTCTCTACTGGGAACACATATACAGAGTTATTTCCCCTCTACTGTCATCATATTTGACTGTCTGGAGCACTCCTGTTAATCATTCAGCAGTCTAAAAATGTCCACAAATAACCGAACTCCTTACAGTGCCAACACATCCTTTAAGTGACATGTATCACAGAATCACAGAACGTTAGGGATTGGAAGAGACCTCAAAAGCTCATCCAGTCCAATCCCCCTGCCGGAGCAGGAACACCCAGATGAGGTTACACAGGAAGGCGTCCAGGTGGGTTTTGAATGTCTCCAGAGAAGGAGACTCCACAACCTCTCTGGGCAGCCTGGTCCAGTGCTCTGTCACCCTCACTGAGAAGAAGTTTCTTCTCAAATTGAAGTGGAACCTCCTGTGTTCCAGCTTGTACCCATTACCCTTTGTCCTATCATTGTTTGTCACCAAGAAGAGCCTGGCTCCATCCTCGTGACACTCACCCTTTAAATATTTATAAACCTGAATGAGGTCTCCCCTCAGTCTCCTCTTCTGCAAACTAAAGAGACCCAGCTCCCTCAGCCGCTCCTCATAAGGGAGATGCTCCACTCCCTTGATCATCTTTGTAGCCCTACGCTGGACTCTCTCCAGCAGTTCCCTGTCCTTCTTGAACTGAGGGGCCCAGAACTGGACACAATATTCCAGATGCGGTCTCACCAGGGCAGAGTAGAGGGGAAGGAGAACCTCTCTCGACCTACAACCACCCCCCTCCTGATACACCCCAGGATGCCATTGGCCTTCTTGGCCACAAGGGCACAGTGCTGGCTCACATGTAGGAACAAGAGTGACCGAAACATACAATATAAGAGTCCAACACAACTCTATTTATGATCTTACTATTTCCTATTACTCCTACTACTGTTGTTGATATCACCAGGGGTAGAAGCTTTCACTAGCAGAGGTTTCTTTTTTAAACCTTCAGATCTGTTGATCCTTTTTTGAGAAGACTTGAACAGGAAAAGGCTTTCTTTTTCTGGGCAGACCCAGCAAACGTGTTCCAAATAGTTCAGTTTGCCATAAACTAGGGGAGAAAAAACAAATCAGCACTATCTTAGCTGGGTTGCGAGTTTGGTTAACAGTGAATGCAAAACAAACCCCTGTTGCATCTCCTCACTTAACTGATCAATTCTTAAGACAAAAGGAATAAATCAATTAACCGTGATAAATCTCTTAGTCATTTTTTGAATCGATGGCTATTTTAAAGGGAAGGGGGGGGAAATGAAGTCTTCCTAACAAGTTATAGTTCTGGAATCAAGGGATTTGAAAAATCATTTACATACCAAAAAGACAGGATGCAATCCTCCTCTGACTTACCTGCACCTTCTCAGAAATGCATATAATCACAAACCCAGGCTAGTTTTAACAGTAAATGACTGTTTTCTCTGCTGGCTAAAAAGCGGGTAAGAGCACAGGCTGGGGTGTTACTGCCACCCAGAGGCCCTTTCTCAACTGAAAAGGGCCAAGGGTTGAACTGCCTGGGCATAAGGAATTGTAATTGTGTGCAAAACTATGACATTTAACACACTTTCTCAGGCAATAAATGAGGTGGAGCAGGTATCTCTCTTTGCTCTGCACTATCCCTCCCTCCTGAAAATTAACAGTTACTGAAACCGACTTTCTGTAACTTTTATAGCATTCCTCATCGGTTATCCCACTACAAATAAGTAACGAATAGCCAACCAGTCTTACCTTGTTTACTTCAGGTGCAAGAATTTCTATCTTCCTCAGACGCTGAAATGCATCATAATCTGTTTCTCCGAACAGCCTGATCGGCTCCCCTCTCTCTCGTAACCTCCTGATAACCTGCAAAGAATCAAAGCATTCCCTTACACGAGCTCGTAAAGGAAGCAAAATAAAACCAGAATGAGGGATTTATTTACTTTGCTTAGAATAACAAGCTGAGCTGGACTGGAAAGGAAATGGCAATATTTTAAGAAGGAGAAAAATGTTCCAGACACTTTACAATCTAAATATAAAATTCCCACGGTACTTCAGTGAAAGGTCATTCCAAATATTGCCAATCTAAATTTTACATAAAACACCAAGCCACTTCATACACTTCTTCCTGCTCTGACTTGTTTAAACAAATACACAAAAATCATCCCTCTAGCAGAGCTTAAAAACCATTTTCAAGGTCACAAAGGAATGTGATGATAATCTCACTCACCTACTTGTCCAGGGCAATAAAAATACTCCCTAACTAGGCTGCAGGTTGTCCCAGCACATCTGCAGGACTGATTTTCTGAAAATTCTCATCCTTAAGCATTTGGAAAATTTCAAGTCTCACGATCTAATACGATGGTTACTCTAAAACTAGATGTAACAGAGGTGGAACATTCTCCCTCAGCTGATTTGTAAAGTCACAGAATCACAGAATCTCAGGAGTTGGAAGGAACCTGAAAAGCTCATCCAGTCCAGAGCAGGATCACCCAGACCAGGTCACACAGGAACACGTCCAGGTTGGCCTTGAATGTGTCCAGAGAAGGAGACTTCACAACCTCTCTGGGCAGCCTGTTCAGTGCTCTGTCACCCTTACAGTAAAAAAGTTTTTCCTCATGTTCATATTGAACCTCCTATGCTCCAGCTTGCACCCATTGCCCCTTGTCCTGTCATTGGCTGTCACCGAGAAGAGCCTGGCTCCTTCCTCCTGACACTCGCCCTTTACAAATTTATAAACATTAATGAGGTCTCCCCTCAGTCTCCTCTTCTGCAAGCTAAAGAGACCCAGCTCCCTCAGCCGCTCCTCATAAGGGAGATGCTCCACTCCCTCCATCATCCTTGTGGCCCTGCGCTGGACTCTTTCAAGCGACTCCCTGTCCTCCTTGAACTGAGGGGCCCAGAATTGAACACAATATTCCACATGCGGTCTCAGGAAGAGAGAAGTCATAGGAAGAGCCAAAAACTGAACTGTATTCTCCTGACTCTTTATGTCATGCATTGCTTCTAAACCTCTTTATTCTTACCGTCACTCATTTAGTGTATCAAGCAATACGCCTATTAATATGAATCGCCATGCAATATTTTGGTGATCAAAAAAAAGGGCTTACACTTCATTTCATGCCACCACTTCATTGTGGCAATAGACTGGTTAGACAACAAGAAACTAAATTAATTCAGACATTAATTTGTTTATTCAGTTCAAGCATCTTGCTGTATGTTGGCAAGCATTTGACTTGCAAATGTATCACAAAATGAGGGGTGGACAGAGTGCTGGCACAGCAGCACCTAAACCTCGACCAAAACACACACCAATGTAGATCAACAGCAGCGAGACCACGTGCGTTACACAGGACATACTGACCAAACCTCAAACCAAACATGAAACCAACAGCCCTGTTACAAGTCCTGTCGTAGACTCCTGTAAAAAACAGTCTCTGACAAAATTAAGGAGACAATTGACATCCTTTGATGGTCCCAGTGGTGAGTTTCAGTATTTCCAAGATTATAATTTATTCTGTACTTCTGAACTTGCCACTTCTCTTTTGCTTTGGTGTATCAATCTGTTTGTGAACTCACATTCACATAATTATTTTTACCCTTAGAAAGGACAAAGGACACACCAGAGCTCTGGCTTCAGGACTTTCACTTCTAGAAATGAAGGTGAATTTTCTAAACCTAGTTTCTAAATTTGGGTTCAGACCAATGAGCTACAAAGAAAATAAGCTGGGGAGAAAAAGCTTGGAAAATCCAGCATGCCATCTTCAGTATTATCCAAGGACAATACTGACATTCAGGGTACTATTCTAGAAGTAAACTGAGAGAGTAAAATGTTATAGCACATCTGTGCAAATCCATACGACACAGGCTCTACCCATCTGTGCCTCCCTCTGCAGTCAATTGGACAGCAGACCCTTGAGGAGCAAAGACAATCACTGTCGACTGTAAAAAGGGAGGCTTATTATTTAATATGAACTACCATAAAAAGTACACTTCACTAGGAAAAGCAGCTGTAACAAGGAATTTCAGACGTATCTGCTGTAAACTCAAGCAGTCTGGTTATGAAGATTGATTTTACCTCCTGTCTGGAAAGGGTCATTGGTAACTTTTCTTCTGCCAGTTCGAGTTCCAGCACTGGATTTGATGAAGTCAGTGGTTTCTCCTCCTCCTCTTGCTGCTGTACCTACATTCAACAGCCATAGTTACTAACATGTTGATGGAAATAAACCCATCTATTGATAGCAATGTAAAGGTACAGGAAGTCTGGAACACAGATTGTAACATGACAATATGAACTTGCAGTTTCACAGGTTTTATTGTCTAGCATTGAATTTCCCAGAACAATAAAAGCTTTTAAAAGTATTGCTGTTTCACTTAACAGCTCTGCATGTTGCAGGAAGCAGTCTTTACAGCAAATGGAAAGGACAATTGCACAAGTTTGGCAATCAAAGCAGGCAGATGTCAGCGCTGATGCCAAAAATAGCAAATCCACCCTCTGCCTGTTGATTCCTGCCCCTGTCCTGTCCTCCTTACCCATGCAAAAGCATCTGCATCGCTATGTGATGAACCAGATGGGGGAACCGATTCAAACAGAAAATAACCTGGCAAACACAAAGAAAGGCACCCTTCCCAGCCCACTGAACCCCTCATCCAGCTCATCAGGCGTAGCACATGCATGGACACAAGGGCAGAAATGAAAACACGAGGGCAGGGACAGCATGGGGATGCCTCTTTCGGTGGCAGTGTGAGCTTAAAATGTTTATTACCTACAGTTTCAGTGAGCTGAGTACATTTAGCAGTGATCCATGGCTTCCACTGGGCTTTGAGAGGTGCTTGTTTAAGGTAACACATCTTTCTAACACGCTTGCCACAGTCTCTTGTGGGTTAAAAACAAAAGCCACCTACAACTCCTCACAGGGATAGGATCTCATAAACAACTGCCCTTAATCTAAAAAAAGGTCTCTGAATCAAACAGAGCTTTTCTTTTTAATTATTCTCCTCAATATTTTAATAATGCAAAACAACTCTTTGATCAAAGTGCCTTCGAGACAGCAGTCCTGTAACTACAGTTCCCTTTATAAGCTCAAATTTGACACTTTGACAACATGAGCAGACTGCTGTTGGTAATATTCCTACAATAAGGAAACGTTTTCCATACTCAATCACATCTTATTTTTTTCCTAGATTCCTTATGAGAATTTATTTCCTTTTCCTTCTTGCTAAATGGAAAACGCTCCACTCAATCCTACAGGACCCTGTGGCACTCTCCGTGCGTGGGCAGCACGTTGTCATTTTCAGTCCGTATTCGGGTTCACCAGGTCGATGACTGCACTAGACAGACTTTTGTAAAGCAGTTTTTCCATTCTTTCAGGCCTATGTGGCAGTCTCACACGCAGGTGTCAGCATGACTCCACGTGGCTGTAAGGATGAACCCTTCTGGCCCCAGCGAAAGGATTCAGCCACAGAGCTCTACCCAGTGCTGTAGTAGCAAACACAGAAATCAATCCTACAACCACGGATGTTTGGAACGAGCAAGGGAAGGACAATCAAATCAATGCTTAACACATAAAGGGAGGGGAAAATAAAACTTCCATCAATGCAGGAAAGGGGGAATTGACAGGAGACAGAAAATATGGAAGAACTGTGTAATTACATCTATATTTATATACAGAAAGAAATACACTCCCATGGCAGAAGGATACGTACAAATTTTAACTTACAAACATTCTTGAAATCATAAAGAGACAGCAGCATTGGGGGAAAAGATTTGATCCGTTCTGTCAGCTGGACTCCAATATCTTTACCACAGTTATTTTTGTTTCAGTGCTTTCTTCAAGCAAGTCAAATTATTACAACTTATTAAGCCTAAGCAACGCAAAAACGCACTTGAATTTAAAAAGAAATCAGTCTGTATTCTACATCTCATTAACATAGTAAAGATCAAATGCAGAAATCTGGGAGGCTCTTAGAAGGTACTAAATTTAACAAAGCAACTTATTTTAAAACCATTTCCAGGGTAGCACTTCAAACCAAAACTGGTGCTGCAGCAGCACAGACAGCGCCGTTGTAACCACCACGAGAGGTTTGGAAGAATTCAAACTGATGCTCAAAAAGCATCACGCAGTCATTTCCACTCGGAAGTGACTGGATTCACAGACACTTCCTCCTGACTACGCGCTGCACGGTCCGAGAACAGTTTTGGCATTGATGCTCAAATACTCCACAGACAGAGCAAGGTTTCAGAATAAGTCACTAACTGGGTAAAGTTCAATCGAAAACAAAGCTCCTATTTGTGCGCAGTAACAGCAAACAAGATGACGAGCCTCTATCGTCCCCAAGGGAACGCACACCCCCTCGCACACACAGATAATCAGGCAGGCAGGCAGATGCACACGCTTGTAGAAAACACCATTCTTTCTGTTGCAGTAAACTCCTGCTCTGACACCGTTTCAAGGCAGAGAAAGCCTTCCAGGTCACTCATTTGTTTCCAAACGCACTCCGGGTTACCAATTGTTTTCTAATATTTTGCCAGCAAGAAAACAAACGCTGCTGTTGCAGCGTTTCAGTGCTGGGTGGTTGATGGCCAAAACCCAAATACAAATACGTGCAGTATAAAAGTTGGCAGAGATTTTTAATACGCACTCACGCTATACTGATTTCTTTTGGGTATTTTGACAAGACCGTGAAAATTATCAGAATGGATAAAATTATCTGAACGTATCCATTTTTTTCCAATAAGGGGGAGGGAAGGTGGTTGTATCAGATCTGGTGTTCATGCCCAACAGCACAATTTAAAAGGAAACGAAGGCAAGCTTTGATCCCAAGCCACTTCATGCTTTCCACAAAAAAATAAATAAACAAAATAAATAAAAGCCAAACCATAACACAAACTTAAGTAGCTGTATATCATGCATATCTGTTCCTGCATTGAAAATGGTTTTGGAAACTCCTACCTCTCCAGGTGGCTTCTCATTTACAGGCTAATGTATAACATTAACAGATTGAACAAAGAACAACGATTATCATTAACAACATTTCTATTGTTGATAATAAAATGTAGACTTCAAAGCAAGCACACAAATTCCTGGAAGAACAGTTTCCATACCTTGCAGCCACATCTCTGGAAGTAGGCCTCCTCTTCTTTCTTAGCTAACTCGCTGCGTTTGAAATATTTCTTACTCCCCTAAAAGAGAGGAAAACCGTTCACAGTTCACAGTGCCACGTACTTGGGCAGAAGTGGCTCAAACTTCCTTACTTGATGTGGTGACTTCAGCTACATCCTTTCACAGAGCTGGCTACATTGTCATGGAAAGGGAATTAGTTGGAAGCACCTCTGAAAGTCAGCGATGCAGAGTCACTTGGCAGCACACAGGTATAAGCAGGCTTGAAAGCACCAGCACTTTGAAAAAACTCCATCCTTTGGCACGCAGGGCCATGGTGCTCGTTAGCGTAAAGCTTCACTTCAGACGTGCACGACAAGGCCCAGGTTGGAGTACAGAAAAGTGGTTTAAATTAACTGTAGGAAACATCATTTTACACTAAATCAAGAAGGTGGGAGAAATCGCCTTTGCACAGAGTATTTTATAAGCTTGCTCAGTCTACCTGTGTAGAAACATGTTGAGTAAGACCTTCCAGACACAAAACAGCTGGCAACTGTGGTCACCCTGAAGCATTTCCCTCGATTAATATGAACTATTACTTCTTTCTTCATACTTTGCCTGCCTGACCTAAAACAGCCCCCGATCACAGCTCCCTACTTCAACCACTAACACCAAAACCAAAACACAGACACCCACGAAAGCCCTCTGCTTTACTCTGCGTGATTTTAAGCTGACACACTTGGCACACATCCCCCTCTCTGCACTTTTACTGTTGCTATAGAATCACAGAGTCATTAAGGTTGGAAGAGATCTCTAAGATCATCAAGTCCAACTGTCAACCTAACACCACCATGCCCACTAAACTGTGTCCCAAAGTGCCACATCTACACAGTTTTTGAACACCTGCAGGGATGGGGACTCCACCACCTCTCTGGGCAGCCCCTTCCAGTGCTTGGCCACTCTTTCAGTAAAGACATTTTTCCTAATATCCAATCTAAACCTTCCCCGGAACAACCTCCACCTGACCACAACCTCCTTTCAGGCAGTTGTAGAGGGCAGTAAGCCTCCTCTTCTCCAGGCTGAACAATCCCAGCTCTCTCCACTGCTCTCCATAAGACCTGTGCTCCAGACCCCCCACCAGCTTCACTGTCCTCTGGACAATCTCCAGTGCCTCAATGTCCTTCCTGTAGTGAGGGACCCAACACTCAACTATTCAAGGTGCGGCCTCACCAGTGCCGAGAGTACAGGGGAAGGATCACTGGTCCTGCTGGGTATACTGTTCCTGATGCAGACTAGGATGCCATTTGCCTTCTTGGCCACCTGTGCACACTGCTGGCTCAAGCTCAGCTGCCTGTCAATCAACACCCCCATGTCCCTTTCTGCCTGGCAGCTCTCCAGCCACTCTTCCCTAGGCCTGGAGCATTGTATGGGGTTATTGTGACCTGGCAATTGGCCTTGCTAAACCACACACAATTGGCCTCAGCCAACCAATCCAGCCTATCCAGGGCCCTCTGCAGAACCTTCCTACCCTCGAACTGATTAACACTCCCACCCAATTTGGTGCCCTCTACAAACTTACTGAGGGAGCGCTCAATCCCCTCATCCAGATCATTGATAAAGATATTAAGCAGAATAAAGATATTAGACGTTCTGCAGCAGTGGTGAGGAAAGGGATCCACACATCATTCACCAGAGATAGCAGAGATTTTTCTCACCTCTCAGTGCCTGAAATAAATAACTAAACCAGCTCCAAATGGCAAAGGCACACAGCGAGGCCCTGTAGCCAGGCTGCCTCTGCCTCCA